CGGAGGGGGGAGCGTGGTCGGGGGCAGGGGCGCTGATGGGGCGGCGGGAGGTTTCCGTCGGGGCCGCAGAGCCCCGCGGGGAGGCAGGCGCCCGGCGGCGGTCCTTCCGTCACCGGTCTGAGGGCACGGCTGTCGTCCTGCCCACGCCACCCCCTTTTCTCTCCAAGGCCTCGCAGTCAGGATGCCCGCAGGAGCAGAGAAACTTTTAAACGCTGGTCATCAGGCCTCCCCTCCAGAGGGCCCCTTAGTAAGAGGGAAGCAGGCGCTGCCCGAGCTGCCCGGTCTCCCCAGCTCGGAGGGCCCCCCCCCGCTCCCTCTTGAGCTAAGAACTGGCTCCGTCAGGTCCCGGATGGCTTGATGTGAACCATGAGAACCAGTGGGCTCGTCTTCTGCAGGTCCCACCCTGCGCCCAAACCTATGGAGGCTATGCCTGGGATGGGGTGTGGAGAAGGGGGCCATCCCGTCCTTGTCACGGGTGGGGTCCTACATGCCACAACTAACTAGTGATGGTGACACACATAAAACTGTGTGCCAAGGTCAGAGCCTTCCCGCCTCCCCCCACACTTTGTATTCTTTAAAGGGAATGTGCTGCTTTGCGTCTCCTGGCCGCGCTTGGCAGCCGTCAGCTCCCACGCTGACAGTCGGTCCCAGGCTCTGTCTTACCAGTGCTCTGGTATGGGCCCCTCCACCCTCCGCACGTTTTGTGACTTCAGTTACAGGCAGAGGTTCCCGGTGGGTCCTAACCTGGCGATCCTGGAGGCCAGACTGTCGGCTGCCAGCAGCCACGCCACTCTCCTGCCTTGCTTGTGGCTGAAACAGGATTCAGCCCCTAGTTTTAAAAGTCAGGGAGGGGATGGATTTCCTTTAAAGCTTTCCTTCCTTTTTAGATATTGCCCTATTCCATGGGAAGTCACATCTCCCCCTCCCCTTTTCTCCCTCAATCAACCCCTGAAAACTTGTTTTTCCACAAGCTTACGGTCTCTTTGTGGTCAGTATGACTTATAAGTTCCTGGTGGGGTGGGTTACCTTTGCTTCCACTACTGGCTGTTTTGAAAAATATGGTAACTTCTCCTACCCAATTCCAAATCTGGTGATCAGATACAATGTTTCTCAAAAGCATAATAGCTAGAAATGATTAAAAAAATGTATTTCTTCTTTAAAAGTAGAGAACTTTGCTAGAAGCTTACAGGTAGTGAAGAGATTCTGTGACCCTTGGTATAGCTGTACTCAAGTCATCAAGACTAATCCCATGAAAACAGTGGCATCTTCAGCATACCTCCTTGAATTCTGGGTTTAGGCAAAAGATGTTGCGACATCCAGAAAGAGGAAAAGGGCCACAAACAACAGAGAGAACCAATGGCAGTAGTGGGGAGTACCAAGGAGCTGGTCCTGGAAACAGTGAACATGAAGCCTCTACAGGCCCTGCCAGAGAGAGCCGAACATGGGAAACTGAGTCAGGGTACCACTGCGACTCGTCAGAGACACCGGGATGCCTTAGACTAAAAGCCCTGAGGATCTAGGTAAAGTAGCATGGCTGGGGAGGGGCTACTGCTGCTCTATTTTTTTTTATTGTGTTTTTTTTTCAATTATAGTTGACATTCAGTATTATATTAGTTTCAGGTGTACAGCTTAGTGGTTAGACAATTTAGTGGTTATATAATTTACGAAGTGATCCCTGTGATAATTCTAGTACACACCTGGCACATAATTACAATATTATTGACTATATTGCCTATGCTGTACTTTATATCCCCGTGACTATTTTGTAACTATTTTTTGTTGTTGTTGTTAATCCTCACCTGAGGATATTTTTTCCCATTGACTTTTAGAGACAGTGGGGGTGAGGGGTGCAGAGACAGAGAAAAAGAGAGAGAAACATCAATGTGAGACACACATCAATTGGTTGCCTCCTGCATGCGCCCTCACTGGGGCTGGGGATCCAGCCTGCAACCAAGGTGTGTGCCCCTGACCAGAATCGAACTTGCAACTCTTCAGTCCAAGGGCCAACGCTCTAACCCCGGAGCCAAACCAGAGAGGGCTGTAACTATCGTTTGTACTTCTGAATTCCTTGGGAAAGCGCTTAAGGACTCCTTCCATGGTTCTGCAACCTTTTGGGGTCACATGCCCTTTGAAAACAAAACCCATGGCTCCTCTTCCCAGAAAAATGCATATACCCACAATTAAAACAACAATAGCATGTTTTTATTGATTTTAGAGAAAGGGAGAGGAAAGAAACATCGATGTGAGAGAGACATCGATTGATTGCCTCCCATAGGCATCCTAATCAGGGATTGAACCTGCAATCTGGTATGTGCCCTGATGGGGAATCAAACTGGTGACCTTTTGGTACATGGGGCAATGCTCAACCAACTGAGCCACACAATTCTGCATATAATTTCAAAAGGCTTACAGAACCCACAAAGGTCATCATCAGATGCTTGAGGGCATAAGATTCCCATTTAAATGACCCTCTATCTGGTGATGGGCATGGGTCTGCTTTCCTAGGCCCATGTCTAGTCCATGGGAGCCTGTTCCTCACTAGGAATGCTAACAGAGCTCCACCTAAAACCCCAGTTCAGCATATAAAATACTGGCATTTTTTTCTGAGGAAAGACTTATGTTCAAAATGAGATGAATGACCAGCAACTAAACTGAAAGATGCAATAATCCCGTTGGTACGGTAGCTTAAAAGGACACATCTATGACTTTTTAAAATCAGTGACTTTTGATCCTTAAAATTAGTTAGCATAAGACTTGGGATTTTTTCTCTTCTAGGAAGCTAAAGAGAGTGAATACCTGAGGAAGAGTCACAAAGCAGCTGGCGAAGCCTTCGGTATAAGGAGGTAGAGTGCAGGCCACAGATGACAGCTGCACAAGCAGCAAAATCTTCACCTCTTTTAGACTTCCCTGCAGATGGGCGGCAGGGAGGCACCTGTCGTAAGAGGCACAGGAGTAGTGCCACCCGGCCAGGGCTCCCTGCCTGGTGAGATGAGGGTGAGGATGCTGTTCCATAGAAGTTACAGGTCGTGGTCGGCCTGCTTTGGGCAAATGTGTGCACAGCCCCACTACCACCTTTTCATAAAGTCTACAGTTGTACATGAATGACATTTTGTTGCTCTTAATGCCAATAAAAAGGAATTCTCTTTTTATTTCCAAATCTCTCCTTTTATTATCATAATTAACCTTCACGTGGAAAGCAAGCAGTAAAAACTATTCAGACAGCATCATTATTACTCTCAGGCAAAAGAGGGTGAGAGGACTTCTACACTCTCAGGTTAAAACAGGCACTGAAAGAGACAAGCTCCAGTTCCCAGCCAGGCCGACCCTTTACAGTCAGCCCTAAGAGCAGGACTAAAGTATAAATATTAAGAGAATCATATTGTGGCTTTATTCTCCTTGCTACTTAAAAAAAGGCAATGTGATGGTCAACATCAGACAGGAAAAACCAAGTCCACACTTTGTCCTGAATCCACTGCCACCACCTGAGTCTTCCTGGTTAAGTCATTTGCACCCACAGTGACAGAATAGGTCCCTGGATAGACTTCGATATAGAGGTCCTTAGAGATGCTCTCAGGCTGGAAGGAAAGCAGATATTAGCGGTTTAGAGATTTTATATCCCAACGCCCAGGGCACTTCTACCAGGCTGCCTTTGTGTGCCAGAGGCCGGATGGAACAAAGCATTAACGTGGGTGATGGAGGTCCTGTTTTCAAATCCCAACCACGTAACAGGACTATCCTTTAGGTGAGTCTCAGCGTCTCTTTCTGCTTGTCTCCTAATCCTAAGACTGGTAACACCTGTCTCACATGTGACAATACTGTGTACATGCTCAAGTGTTACAGGAATAGGAACCATCATAAAAGGAACACTCTAGCTGGAATAAAAGATAAGAATTAGGCATTGGGAGGGAAAGGCTAAGGACACTGTTTGGGGATCAAAAGCAGACAGTGGCACTTGTCAGCACAGACAAGTGGTAATGGCGAGGCAGCTTGGAGTAGTGAGAATCATTCTTTTTCACTGTGCTTTGCTAAGTTCATTATTAGGATGGTGAGACATTTCCTTTCTCCTAAAGCTGGGAACACTATAGTAGATTCCCTTCCACCATGCTGCAAGTCAGCTGGCTGGCAAATCCCTCCCTTGGGGGACTGGTTCTCCTACAGTGCAAAACACTGGAAGGTGGAATAAATGGAAAGATTTGTGTTTAGAGCTGAGCACAAACCTCCAGTGACAGACTTCACACATGGCAGGTGTGTAAGCAGAGGAGGAGTCTTAGCTCAGGTGGCAAATGAGAAAAGAGCCTGTCACTAAGAGCCAAGGTTCTGATTCCCCAGCTGGGACACCACTCATGCTTACTCAGTGCTCAGAAGGAGCCACAGGCAGAAGCTGTCATTTCCACCACCACACCCGGGGTGTGGGGGTGGGGGACAAAGCCACTGGCCAGCAAATTCCACTAGGACAATGATAATATTTATACTTTTATGAAACTTCTTCCCCTTCCACATGACAGATTTGAAGCCAATTTTTTCCAAAGCTACTTTGTTATATCCTTTTGTGCTTATCCCAGTTAAGCAAAATCAAAGGCCTAGTACCACTGAATTGATGTGAATGTATGGGACAATGCCACAACTATTTATTGGGCATCAACTATGTGGATAAAAGTAGGTTTCAGAAAATACAGCTGTATCAGAATTGCAGAAAGCCAAGGAAGCGCCTCATTTGTCTGAATAAAAGGAAACATGAGGGGTAAGATGGGCATCGGTGCTTCCCACACTGTGAACATCTGGAAGATTAGCATGATCCAAAGCCAGCAGGTGTTGGAGGCATTGAGGCCTACCCACTTTTATTTGTATAGAAGCAGAATATTCCTAGCTGCTATTAACTCTAGTATATTCTGAATCCTCGTGAGGACACTGTATACAAACAGAAGATAAGTAAATTATTACAGCAACATGCTGCAGTTCCTTTCCTCAGCATTCCAGCCCTTCCCAGTTCCAGAAGATTTTCTGAGTTTATAAACTAATGAGTACTTCATCCTAGAAATGAGAAACTCATCCTTATATGTTTTTACAGAGAAACTAATGGAAAATGGGAACAAATCCCTTCAGATGTTTTGGAACTGAGCTAACCAAGCATATACATTTCAGAATGTCGGCAATGGTATTCACTTTGTAAGCACGGGGGTCAGGACGCTCCTGCTGCTCCAACAGATGGTGGAATTCCTGCAGGACCCCGCGCCAGCCCAGCTGAGCTCCAGGAACTGAGATGTGAATACTTCGCATTCTTTCCAACCACAACTATGAGTTCAGGCCCAGAGCATCCCTGAAGCTTCCAGTGAGAGAAGGATACCAAGGAAACAACTTTACACTGAACCACAATGTGTACACCCTCCACAGGGATAAAAACATCCCTATGTGAAAATACTGCAGATCCAGTACGAAGAACCCTATAATAACCAGGTCAACTGGTTCACGTAATGGCAGTGGTGGGGAGGCCAGGGTGGGGACACCAGGAGCTCTGTACTCACAGGCTGGGGTGCCTCTAGCATGCACTCTGAGGCTCGACAGATGCCTCCAAAACCAAGGGATGTTTCTTTTCTCTGAAGAGACAAATAGAAACACTGTTTAGTGCCCAGGCTCTGATTTCTGGATTATAAAGAGAAATTTTCTCTAATTTATGAGGAACTAACAATTGTTCTGTCCATTTTTTCTAAGTTGTCGCCTAAGTAATTAAGGCTTTTATAGTGAATTCTGTGAGGTATTTTTAGTCACATGTTTACCATAATTGCTTTTTATTCTTCATGGGCTTTGGAGTCAGATAAACCTCAGTTTGAATCTTATGTCTGCTGTTTACTTAGATTAATTTCTCTAAGCCTTGCTTTCGTTGTTGTCTATAACATGGAGATACTAGATATAGGGAAGATTTAAAGTGTAGAGGTGACTGACACGTAATTGGATCTCAGAAACTAGAACTGTCTTCTGAGCTTGTCTCAGGAATGGGGCTGTTAGAGAGGTACAGGCTGAACTGGTGAAGTCAATTCCCCTTAGAGGCATCAATTTACATTTATAGTAAAGAATGGGAGGGATAGGAATGACTCTCAGTCACATGGAACCCCCTGAGTGTCGGACCAGAGGAGGGGAGCTGGGGTTAGGGCTGTGGTGTTACTCCTCACATCCCAGGACAGGGAAACGAGCGCCTGCATCCAGCTCTCACTCATATGCCTGCGGCCACGCCTCTGTCCTTTCCCTAAACCCACCGGCCAGAGAGGTCAGAGATCCACCTGTGCATTAGACTCTGAATTTAAATTCACTATCTTTGAGTACAACCAGGGGAGTTTAAAAACAAAAACACCTACTCTCCTCAAAAACAACAAGACTTTCTGTTGAATCAGTTGAACAATTAGAATCTGTGTCTTCCCCAGAATGACATGTGGTAAAAAACAGGTAAGTCTTTAGTGAGAGGCCCGCGATTGTTATCTTTAGGAAAAGTATTTTGTTACAAGACACTTCCTCCTTGCACTTTCTTTTTAAAAATTAACAAAGACATGATAGGTATCACTGTCTTGGAGTAAAATACGTGATTATGAAAAATCTCTTCCCTATCCCTAGATGTAGAAGATGATATTCGAAGCTCTCTCCTTTAAGCCTGCCCAAGAATCCTGTGGCCCAGGATTGCAGGTTCAACGGAAGATCCCACAGTGGTATCAATCTTATATTTTGGACAAACTCCTATTTTATGTCCACTGCTGTAAGTTCTCCGAGACTGGGGGCTGATACATTTCCGTTGGGCACTGTAATGCTGAGTCACGTGGGCATCCAATAGTACAGATCCAGCATGAGCTCTGGGACATGGGGTCCCCCATCTTGGGAGACTGAGCACACAGCACAGGGAGGGAGGACACATACCTGACCCTTCTCGAGGTCCGAGCACAAGCGCAGCTGCGACTTCCCTCTGTGATAACGATAGACATGGGTTGCCCCTCCTTCCTCTGGCACAGATGAATAATATTTCTAGATATTAAAAGATGATGGGTAACTAAATAGTGAAAGATGTTGGGTAACTAAACAGTCTGTTTAACTTTCAAATTTTCAAAAAACTCTGTTACTTGGGCAAAATATGGTTAAGAAGAGAGGTAAAAGAGCAAAGGTAAGTTACCTGCCCGCTTGATGGGCCTCTGAAGTCATCTAACAAATCTTAGCACGGGTAAAGTGGCTGCAGAGAAGGAAACTGCATTTGGCATCACTTTGCTGCCATCTGCTGCCTCTGTAGGGCAAGAACTCTGGCCAACTAAAGCTGGGCAGGACCACATTCTCTGCCAGGTTAAATAATTTTCATATCTGGGCCCCCATGTCAAGTATACAAGCCCTTTCATCTCCTCGCACGACAAATTCTATGTTTATCGTCTAAGTCTCAGACAAGGACAAGGGAAGAGAGGGGTGCATCTCCCTGAGACTTGGAAATACAACAGGAAATGTAACATAAACCCAATAGCTATGCAGCCATCTTCCTCTGTGGATGAGGGGTGGGAGAGGGAGAGGTCTCCAATTTAAGGCGAATAATCCAAAGGATCAGGAAGCAGTTACATTTTTCTTGCCTATCCTTTTTCCTCTCGAAGTTAACCTTAGACTTGCCATTGATTATGACTACTGATGAGGACATCACAAGCCTGTCTGTTTTGACACAGTGTAGGAACAGCGTTGAAGGCATGAGACCAAAAGAATGAGAAGCCAGGGAAAGCGCTTCAAGACATGGATCTAATGTACTGTAGGGGCTGCTTCAAAATTGTGACGGCAAAACTCAGGATACTGTTCTTAATTCTGCCTCAGAAAGCCAAGGGGCTCTGAGGATCCATTCCATAACGGAGACTTGAACTGAACACCAAAATGAAGAACACCAATTTGCTAAACCTCAAACCAAAGACAAATATTATTCCTTTTATTGAGCCATGAACCAAAGTTTAAGTTGATCACTTTACAGTAGGGCCCAAGTTATGAATTTGTCTAAAACCACTTAACAGAGTAAGAACATAAAAATATTCTGTGAACAGCTTTGGCCAGTTTGGATCAGTGGTTAGAGCGTCAGCCTGCGGACTGAAGGGTCCTGGGTTTGATTCCAGCCAAAGACTCATACTTGGTTGTAGGCTCAATCCCTGGGCAGGAGGCAGCCAATTGATGTGTCTCTTTCACATTGATGTTTCTCTCTCTCCCTTTCCCCCCCTCCCTCCTCCCCTTCCACTCTCTGAAAACCAATGGAGAAAATATCCTCAGGTAATTAAAAAATACATATATCTATGAACTATATCTCATTGGCTGGTATCCTGTTCTTGAAATCACAGGGATTTTATAAAAGATATAGAAAGATTAGAGTTTTTTTTGAAATTGAAAAGCAGGACAGAAACAAGCTATTCTCTTCCTTCTCCCTTATGGACCAGCTTCCTCATAGCCACATAAGAATCACAAGAAGTTAAGGCTGGAAGAGACCCAGAGTCTGTTGTAATTCTTAGAAAATAAAGAGTCCCTTCTGTGCAGGTGATTTCCTTGAATGTTGGCTGGCCTGCCTCCAACATTCCCTTGAAGTACTTAAAGATGACCTTAGTATATAGTTATGAAAAGAGGGTCTTAAAAACCTTTGTTCACCCAACTCAGTGGATGGTACCAAAAATCCTAAGTCCCTCATGATTCAGTTTATGATAATTTTCTGATGTTCATTTCTCATGAACCAAAGAAACAGACTGTAAAGGATGGAAAGGATTTCAGAGATCTTCATTTTTTTGTTGGGGAAGGTAAGGGTGACAGAGACTAAGTGGCCTACAGCATTATAGCCAGTTTGTGGCAGAACATGGGTCTAATTCCTGGGAGGCTGCTCATACCATTAAGCCACACCTCTTCTCATGAGGGTGCTGCATCTGTTCCACAGAACCACCTTTGTGGCCATCGAGCCATATAGACCCCACAAGGACCTACTTAAAAACTACATTACCAAGGACTTGAAACAGAGGTTATATTTTAATGTAGGGGTTTTGTTTCAGTTTTTGTTTCAATACATTTTGAAAACAGAAAGGCTCAGTTCCAGTTTAGAGTGACCCCACTGATTTTTTTTTTAAGATTCCACGTCAGTTCAAAGTTTTAAAAACTCCTAATATTTGGACTTGTTTTGGAACTCAGCAAATAAGCTTTTCCTCCTACTAGCCTGAGAACAATAGTGAGGGTAGAGGCCTTTTCTGACTTGTTCACTGCTGTATCCTCAATAACGTTTACTGAATCAGGTATTCAATAAATACCTGATGAACGAATTCTAACTTGGATTTATCACCTGGTTTAAATCCTTGAGTGATTAAGGGCAGCGGCAACTGGCAGTCTCCAGATTCCCCCTCAATTCCATAAAGTTCCACTTTGTGATCCATCACCAGGCAGATCAGGGGCATGGCTTCAGTCTACACCAACTTACCCCACACTGACTTGAGGTATAGTCCATGAATTCAGCCATTGTTCTGAAGGAAGCACTGAGGGTTGGGCGTCTTTCTTCTCTCTATTTGAATAAATGGCAAGTCACAGGTGAGATCCGGTATTCCCTACTGGAGAATGAAGTCATTTGGGGAATAGCTTCCTTTTTACTTTCCGAAAGGCTCAGAAAGTTTAAGCCAGTAAGAAGGATCTTACCGAGAAGGAATTCCAACTTTACAAGAAATACACTGACATGTAATTTACCCAGGACAAAGGCTGGTTTGCGGGCTTTCCTCTAGTATCAGATGGTAGCAGGTAAGAACTTTTTAAAAAAGTAACCAACCAGGGCCGAGCACTAGCAGTATCCTAAAGCTACCCAACAATGAGCTGCCAAATGTCACGAGTTTTCAAGGGCTCTTCCGTTCACGTCCTGATGCTTCACAGCTTCTGCCAAGAGCAAGATCCCTCAGGTGCTTCGGTGCGGCCCGCGCCCGGTCCCCAGCAGGCCACCGCCGGCGAACGAACGGGCCGGTCCCCAGCACAGGGGCCCTCACCTCTCCGGGGAGAAGGCCCAGCGGGCCGGCTGCGGGCCATCTTCCTCCGCAGGGCCGCTCCGGAGAAACGGCCCCCACGCTGCCTTTGCGAAGCTCCGCAGAGTGCCAGTCCACCGCCCTCCTCTTGGCCCGCTCCAGCACCTCTTGACCCAGCCTGGCCGAGCGCTGCAGGGAACGCCGGTCCACCCCGTTCAGCGCCGCGGCCGCCAAATAGCTCTCCATGTCTACCTAGGTGGGCACATACACACACAAGGGCGGGCCACCCAGCTCCGGGCCGAGCCCGCGCCTTAACCTCCCCAGCGGCTAGGCGCCCCGGCCCCGCCCCCCACGCGCTACCAAGCGGCTGCGGGGTCAGAGGTGAGCCGGCGCGAGCTGACCGCTCCCATTTCCGCCTCCCCCGGCCCTCCCCCAGCCCATCTCTGACGGCGCATGCGCTCGGCGCTCGGGCGCAGAGGGGGGGCTGGGCTTAGAGCCACGAGCGCCAGTGCAGCTGGAG